CACAAAAAAAAAAAAAAAAAAAAAAAAAGCCAAAAAGCCAAAAACTGACTTCTACTGTGAAAAGGGGCACTACTGGCTTGGAGCAGGTTAAAAGGAAACTTTCCATTCTAAGAAAGAAAAGCTAAGATTTGAAAATAAATAAAGTGATGTGGCAGAAAAATAGATGGTTCAGTTCATACAAGCCAGATAATTTCCATAGTTGTCAATAGCTGGACACTTAATTCTATAAATTATTACTGTAACTTATCTTCCTTTCCATCAATGTAAGTTCAACGTTAAAAACAGGAAGATGGTAGGAAATTATTTAGTATGGTATTACCTTAATATAAATCTGAAAGTCAAAAGCTTTTACAATTAGAATTGAGAAAACAAAACCAAAAAGCATTACTCTCATGATATAATACAGACTGATCAAAAAGGGACATAAAAACAGAGCTAAAATAACAGAGTTAAGCACTGTATTTTATTGGCTAAAATGCTGTACAGATTTTTTAAATGTAGATTTGGGGACTAGTTTTTCCTTTTAAAAAATGTTTTTGAATTGTTGATGTCCTTCTGTCAAAACAATGCCAGCAACAAGTATAGAAGCCCACCAAAAGACCTCAAATTTGCTGCAAGCCTTGCTCATATCTAAACTTGAAAGGAAATCTGCCTACGTACAAGGAAACAGTCAACTCAGTTTTGGTCACATTTTCACTAATGTCATTTGTTTGCCCCACTTTGTTCTTTATTTTGTTTCATTTCTACTTTTTAAAATAAAGTCATATGTCATCTGGAGATTCTTTTTCACTGAAACTACAACTGCAGGGATTATCTATACTTGCTGCCACCGCTCCTCATTTGATGTATCTCACTAAGGTTGTAATATGCTCGTTTCCCCTGTAGCCTATGAGATTCATGGCTAGATGCTGCTTACTCATCCTGGTAGATCTCCTTACTCCTACAAAGACTACCAACACCTCAAAACAACTTGATAATTCTGCTTTCTCTTAGTAGCAACTATTTACTAGTTGACTTTTTTACAACAACTCTTTTATCAAGAAAAATTATCTTTCTCTTCTTTGAATAAAATGCAAATAAATATAAATAAAAAGATGATCAACAAAAAGGAGCCACTAGAACATTGTAGACAGATCCACACTGTATGTTCTTTGAGGGCAGGGGTAATATCTTACTTTCTTCCCCTTTCTAATCCTAATGATGAGCAGACTACCAAAAATACAATATTTATAGATTTACTTAATAAATAACCAAATAAATGAATGAAGATCTTTTCAGAATGCTTAACTCATTCATAACATTTAATAAACTCCTACTATACGTGCAGAGGCAACGAAATGTGCTAGAATAAACAGATGATGGTTCTTGCTCTCAAGAGCCTCCATCTGGGAGGGAAGAAAACATGTGAACAGATGACCACAAGAAAGTTACGTATAAAGTACTCTGAGAACACATTAGAGAACAGTTTCCAGAAGGATCACTTTGATCCCTTGTGACAGTGGCTACAAAGGTTACTTTTGTGGGAGAACACTAAACTTATCCCCTTCATGATCTCCAGAAATTAAAGATATATTCCAAATACTCTTAACTTTCCATTAACTCTCAAAGGTTGAATGTACCACTTTTACTTAGCTATTTTTCATCATTATATCCCACCGACATAGTTGTACTATTAATAATTATACTCTCTGGGTTACCATGCAATAGCAAAAAAATACTAGCAGGGAATCTGTTACTTTGTTCTACTCACACTAAATCTCTCATCATTACAAAAAAAAAAGGCCCTCTTTTAAAAGTAATAAGCCACCTAATTATCTACAGACCTAATGAACGTATTAGTCATATACGTAGTATCATTATAGCCAAGAACAGTTTATAAAAGGAACAGAAGGGCCACCAGAATGTACCTGTCTAAGGCATTCTAGGCAGTGGGTTCTACGCTATCAGCTAAGTTTCCTTTATTGTATAGGTGACAGAGTGCGCAGAACGGGTCTCATCTATTAACTCCATATCACTTGGATGTCAGCATTTCATTGGGTCATGTTGACAAAGCACTGTACTACATTATAAACAGAGAAATACATATACCATTCGTTAGTATTTCCCACATAAAAAACATCCTTTTAAACTCAAGCAATGATGATATAGTAACCATTTAAAAATCAGGTAATAAAATAAGCCCTTTCTTTATCCACAGGAGACAATGACAGACTCTACTCTAAATCTTGTTATTTAGTAGTAATTTGCACTACTGTAGGTCAGAGGATAGCAAAATAATTCATTTCTTTGAAGTGGAATTAAACCTGTCATACTACCCAGGAATAAGCATCTGGACAGGTAAAGGTCTAAGCAGTATTTAAAAGTTTAAAATCAATTTTTCCTCCATAATCCATATCAATGTATCTACAGTCATTGGCATACTTACCACACTGACTGAATTTCTCTTTTAGTTTCTGCCAAGTCAAGTCAAAAGGCAGCTAGAATGAAAAAAGGTATTAGTAACAGATATACAAGGAAAATAATAATTTTAAGTATACTTTACATTTAGCTGCTTACATTTCTGACAAATATCTGGTTGCCTTTGGAGCCTATTCTGTCTCTCATTCCGCTTCCCATAGGACCTGATAAAAATCCTCGATCCATATCGATGCTCCTTTCCAGTATAGCTCCTATACCTGGTCCCACTCTATCAAAGCTGGAACTCATCCGATCCAGTCCCATCCCCATTCCTCCAGTCACACTGTTCATGCCACCCATTCCACCACCTGGATTTTCAAGAAGGGAAGGGAGGATTTGGGAGTTTGGTGTTTTTGTTTTAAAAACAGAAGGAAAAGGAGAAGGAAGAGGAAGAAGGAGAGAAAGAGGAGGGAGAGAATCATTTTTGAGAAAGAAAGAGAAAAATTAATTCATTTATGTAATTTAGACAATATATAAACAAAATTATTTTTATACACACAATATAACAATCTTCCAAGGAACAGATTTTAATTTTGTATATATTCAGTTAGTTGAATGTTAATGGCTAACTGAATCTGTTCATACTATTATACATATACATTTCTAAAAAATTACATTCTGATCATAAAACATAAGTTATACACATTTTCTATCAATGACTTTATTCATTAATGTTATAGTAGTTTGTATCCTCGTTTTTATCTTTTAATAATACCAAGCTTAGTAATTGTTAGAACAAAGACATATGGGGTAAATTCAAATAATTACAACTATAACATATCAACTGTTGCTCTCATACTGCCCTACATAATATTCTTTTCCTAGCTTACCTTTCACCTCAGTATCTTGTTCTGTATACAATTGCTCTTTTCATATCAATTCAATTTTCAATAACTACAGAAAAAGCTAACTTTTAGTCTCTCTGTTATACAGAACTTGTGGAGATAACAACAAAAACTGGAATCACACTCCTCTAGCCAGAGCTTAAAAATCTAGCTTGTAGCTCGTACCCACTTGATTCTTATACATTGAGTCCCCTTTAACTATTCCAATCCTACTCTTTCTCAATCGCATCCTTTTTTCTCGTACCTAATATCCCCATTCTAAAAATTAACATCACCCTCAAATTGGCTTTCTGTGAATAACAAATATAAAATTAGGGGAACAGAAGTATAAACACTGAGGTGAAAAAGGAAGGTAGGGAAGTTATGATTAACAGGAAAATGGCCAAGGCTGAAAAGATGATGAAAAGAAGGAATAAAATGAGAAGCAAGGTACAATGGAAGTAAGTATCTTCAGCTGACAAGATTTTTTTAACTCACTCTTAGAAGAGTTCAAGTAGACTTTGTTTCCTATTTGTGAGATTTCAATCAATTAAAGGAAGTCGGTAACTATGGAGAGCTCACATAGACATGGTTCAGTAAGCAACATGGGTCAAAAACTAAGCCTTGTGTTAAGGGTTAATATAAAGCCTAAAATGTAGTAGTGGAAACAGAGGGAAGAAATTTGGCATTCCCCAGTTTTGCAACAATAGTACTCTTGATTCTATCAAAGAAAAGGTTTAAGAAGCAAGGAAATAAGCATTTCTTTTAACCTTGCCCTCAACCTCAGGAGGTCTCCAGAAGTGTTAGATCTGAGGTGATTCACCTGTGTTTACCAAAAGACACAATTTTTTTTCACAGATGAAATAAGCTAGTCGCCAACAGCAGTTATAGAGAATAAGGAAAGAAACAGAGTTGGTGCTAAAGCTAATGTTGTTCGTGACATATGATCAGAAAAAGCCCCAGATTCTTTAGTTGGAATAAAGGTTCTTGAATTGGGTGACAGTTAACACATATTCTGGTGGTAGTTTAGAAATGTCAAAGAAGTAAAATTCAAAGTTAGTTAAGAAATTTCCAACAGTGATAGAACAGTAAAGCTCAATAAATATCAAAGTTTCTCTAAATTATGACAAGTCATATTAACATACAAGAACAAAGTATTACAATACTACAATAACTACTCTTGCAAAGTTTTTTGCAAGTATTCAAATATTACTGTAAAATTCTAGTAAAATTTAAACCTACTTATTCCAGATCCTACTGGACCCATGTTAGAAGCTCCTATTCTTCCTGCAAACCCTCCAATCATTGCACTGCCTAAACAAGGATGGAAAGATAATATACTAATTAATTTAAATAATCATACTTTAAAATTCCCAAGGTATTATGCTCTCAGAAGATGTACAATAACTGAAAAGTACAAAGTCGTCTACAAATAGGGCTCAAATATGTAAGACACTGAAAAAGAGCTAGTACATTAAAACATCTGAAGTATTTTTCTTTAAGTAATAAATTGCACGAAACATTATAAATTTCTAATTTTTCATACAAAAAAAGACAGCCAAACTTTGAAAAATACAACCTGCGAAAAGAAAAGAAGTAAACAGCCAGCCCTACCAAGTCTACCAAAGGAATCTCCAAAGCCTCGATTTATTCCAATATCACCACGTCCAAAATCTCTCTCCATGCTACTAGTCATCGCACCACGGTATAGCTCTGAAAAGATTATGCAACAAATTAACCCTTTTTCAAGTATTATCAATAAACAATAATCCATTTAGGAACTTACTGAAACTAAATTGTAATGACAGCAAAAGTCACAATACAAGAAGTCCATGATTTACCCAACCTACTTCACATGCCACAGATATCCCAGTCCTGCTCTGCCTGTCCCTATCCCCTGGTGCCCATACATCCTCTGAAAACATCTACAGTATCCATTCCTAAGTTATGGGGGGACATTTTTAATAATGGGGAAAATGAAATGTAGTATACATATCCCACTATATACATTTACCTACCTCCCATTCGACCAACTCCTCCAAATCCTCCCATGCTACTCATTGCTTCCAGACCACCAAACCCAATTCCTATGAAATAAAGGTTAAGTTTGAGATCTGTCAGTTATATAGCTGAAAGGTACATTTTGTAAATATTAAGTCTCATCAGTAAGCTCTTCATCCACCCTACCTTGTGCAACTGCTTCTTATCACCTTCCATAACCCTTATGTATGTACCAGGCTCAATTTCTGCTAGCAGCCTTTAGGACGTGAGCCAACAATAAACCATGACTTTTGTTTCCCCTGGAATTCTCAACATAGTTTCTAACTTACTAAACATGGTGATGGGTACATACAAGAAAACAAATGCTTATACATACCTCCTCCAATTCTATTCATTCCTCCAAAACCTGGACCATCCATTCCCATACCTCAAATAAAATACACAGTATGTACTTTCAGTAAATCTTATTTTAATGACTAAAGAATGACATAATGCAACACAGCAAAATAGATACCAATGTCACAGTCACAGTGGAATACTAGAGAAGCAGCAGGGCATAGATGGGATGGTTTCAAGGGCTATGCCACAGCAGGTGTCTAATCATGAGTCTTCAAAAAGGCCTCTTTGAATATTTATTAGACAAGAAAACAAAATTCACTGGTCATACTCACATTCAGTTAGAGAATATCTAGGACTAGGTAATCGTTCATTTTTTTTTCAGCTCAGACACACAAATATCACTACAGCAGATTGAGAGATCAGGTCAGAAAGTAAGGACTCCTTTAAACATGGTAGCTAAGGGAGCAGTAAAAAATGAAAGAATAAAAATAGTATGTGTTTAGGAGGGTAGAGGGCCTAAGAGTAAGGGAGAAGATTTCCATCTGTTTAGACCATAATGATTACCATAACTACCCTCACAATTTAAAATGTAACTATAGCATCTCAACAAAAATAGAAACCAGATAGCATTAATTAGTCCATCAATTAAAACAGCAATTCTCAAAATATGGTCTAAGGACCTCTGAGGGTTCAATAGGTCAAAACTCCTTCATTATCCAAATAACACTAAGATATTGACTGTTTTACTCTCATTTTCTCATGAGTATAAGGTGGAATTTTCCAGAAACTACATGATCGATGACACTGTAGCAAACTGAATGCAAAAGCAGATAGAAGAGCATGACTGTCTTGCGTTAAGCCAAACATTAAAGAGATGTCCAAAAAGGTGAAATAATATCACTCTTTTCACTAATTTTTGTACTGGAAAATACAATTTATTTTCTTAAAAATTACATTTATTTTAACACATAATGGGTTTATCATTGTTATCTTAAATAAATATGTAAATTTTTAAAAATTTCTAAGTTTTAATTTCAAATACAGTAAATATTAACAAATATAACCACATAAACAAAAGCACTTTGGGGTCCTCAACAAATTTTAAGAGTATAAAAGGGTTCTGAAGCCAAAAAGTTTAAAAATCAATCTTCAAACATAAACTGTACGTTAGTCTACGTGAATAGCCAAACAGCTACCTGAAAAGCTACCCTCCCAACTAGATATTCAAATTTAAATTGCTGATATGGTAGTATTTCAGCCATTCCACAAATACTGTATATCCATGATACACAAGGAACAGACTATGTTGAATATTCTCCTTCTACCTTAAAGACAATTCAAAATCTAAAAGGCTAAAGGCTAGCTAAAAGTGCTAAAAGGCTAGCTGTAACGTGGCTGCCCTCAGAGGAACCCTCCTGACCTTTTGTTCAACCTCTTTCACGTTCTCTGCTCTCAAAGGTTTCATTCCTTTTTCAGACTAAAGTAACATCTTAAATATTCAACTATAAACTACAGTCCTTTAAATATTATTACAAACTAGTAAATATAAGCTTTACAATGTAGCAAATGCATCATTTAAAAAGAAATAATAAAGTTAGAATACTCACCACTTGGACCTAAATTTCCCATTACACCACCTATGTTCAACTGGCTGGCACTAATAGGCTGTCCACCTGGACCAAGTCCCATTCCAATGCCTCCAAGACCACCTAAAACACAAATAAGAATATCATTACCAACTCATATATGATCAACTAACTGGCACTGAAAATTTTTTTAAAGCTATATGCCTGTAGTAGTATTTCTAAAATTTTGCAAATTTGTAAATAAGTGCACCAGTTCTTGTTTCCATTGGAATGCAGCACATTGAAGCCTCACTATAATATCATTTACTAATGAGAAGTGTTTTATGAAGCAGATCCATCTTATATCCCAGTTAAAGGCATACTGAAAAAGAGTAATGCAATACCAAGAGGATTTTGAACCACCTTATAAATGACATACATATCTGAAAATAAGAATCTTGCTTGAATCTGCAGACCCTCTTAGAACCTAGGAATTACTTTTCAGATGGTTCAAATCAAACGAAAAAGTCAACAAACATGAAAACATTGAATAAAGCAAACATTATAGTACCTAGTTTTATCACTGACATAAATATTTATATAAACAAATATATTTATTTTTATATGGTATTTTAATTTATTTATATACTATGGTATACAGTGTTTTTACATCTATTACTCACAGATGAGGTAATTTTTGAGACCGTTAAGTTACTTGTACAATGCCATTTAACTACGTGATTAAGCTAAGACTAGAATTCAAGTTTTCTGTCTCTAAATCCAGTATTCTTTTTACTTTCTCTCTTAAACTAAGTTCACTGAAAAGAGACTGTAAGAAGACAATCTGATGACTTAAAGACAGTGGGAACTGTTTTATTCTAAATCTGAGTTTGACTTAAAAGTTCTTGCTGGTCAATGTAGCAATTAGTAAGTGGTAAGGGCTGAGAAAACCATATACTATATATATATTTTTAAAAAGAGTACAGAAGCATGTCGTGTTAATTTGGAGAAAGATCAATGTGACCTGGTAAAAGAAATATCTTTTTTAGCTCAGTCCCTAAAAATGGTTCAAAGCAATAGCACACTTCACTATCAACAATGCTCATGTCTACACCTAAAACTCTTATTTTCATCTCTGATATCATTCTTCACTAAAAGGAACCAGGCCTCTTTGAAAGTAGGCCAATCTCATGTCTTTGAACAAGAAAAATCTTCATGGATCTGGGAAATCCCATTCTCACCAGAAAGTAACAGCAGAGGCATAGGAAATGAGAGGTCCCCACTTACCAAGTTGTAATAATTTGAGAAAAAGAAGTGGGGGGGTGTTGGGGAGAAAGGCAAAAAATAGGGAGGTTAATAATGATTAACTTAACTAAAACAACAAACTGATTCTGTTAAAGTCTATGAGTTCATATTACATCTCAATAGAAAAGAGTACATAAAACCATAAATCTTAAAAAGAACAGATACAAAAGTACAAATGTAATTTTTAAATCTAAATAAATTGAAAAGTACTAACAGTGGAAAATAAATCAAAAGCCCCTACTTTATAAAACCAGGATATTAAAAGATGACACCCTGAGTGATAAGGAAGGGCAGGAAAGGACTGCCCTACTTCAAAGACATGTAAGCTGAGAATTTTAAAAAACTGAATTCTCAATTGTGAAAGCCCAATAAACAGTAATCCACATCCACACTGTAGTAAAACTGCATGCCAAAGATAAAGATCTTAAAATCAGCTACATGAAGAGCACAGCTTATCTATAAAGAAAGGACAGTTCAACTGATAGCTGACTCAATAGCAAATATAGAAGCCAGCAGACTGGAATATTTTTAAAGTGTTGAGAGAAAAAAAGTACCTTAAACTATATAACCAGTGAAACTATCTTTGAAGACATTTATAGACAAACCAAAATTAAGAGAATTTACTAACAACAGATACTCATTGAAAGAGCTTTTAAAATATATGCTTCAGGGGGAAAAAATAGTGCCAGGGCCTGTGAAAGCAGATGATAAGTAATAATAATGCCTAATTTGTGGGACTGGAAGCAAAGCAATATATAACTAAAACATTGAGCAATAATAGCATATAATTCAGTAGGAAAGTGATCAGAATTAGAACATTCAAAGGTCATTCTACTATTGAGAATAACTATATTAACTTCAGACTTTATATAGACATATTAAAATATCCAGGATAACCAGCAAAAGAGAAAGATAGGAGAAAAATAAATATAAACATTTGTAAAACACAGAAAAATAAAACACAAAATAAGATTATGGGAATTAATCTAAATAAATCTACAAATGTGAATAAACAAAACAAAGCTGTTGTATCTCCATTACTATTAGACAAATGACTTAAAGGTAGTTACTGAGTTATGAAATCACTCTATAATGATAAAATCTTGATTCACTAAGAAAATATATCAGTTCTAAACCTACATGCACCTACTGAATTAGTTTCAAAATAGTTCAAGTAAAAACAAGAAAAAATATGCAAATTCACCATTATAGCAGGGGATTTTACCATAAACTTATCTCAGTAATTGATAGCACAAGCAGACAAAATTACTAGCAGAGATATAATTTAAATGATTAACAAACTTGGTTTAATGGACATATACAGAACAGTATACTGCACACCTGAAGTATTTATTAAAATGTATCATATATTAGGCCACAATGCAAAGTCCAAATTAATTAATTGATTCCAAGGAATCACAGAGACCATCTTCTATGACCACACTGCTAAGTTAGAAGTTAGTAAGAAAAAAGTATACATTTGGAAATTCAAAAATATATGACTTAGGAAGAAATCATAATGGCAATTTAATAAAAATTAAATCACAATAAAGACACTCTATAGCAAAACTTGTATACAGTGGCCAAATTTATAGTCATAGCTACTTGTATTAAAAAAGAGGCTGCAAATTAGTGAAGTACACATTCAACTTAAGGAGTTAGGACACAAATAAGAGACTAAACCCAAAGAAATAGAGAAGGAAATAAAACTAAGAGAATAAATTAAAATATAAAAAATGGAATTCACTTCTTTGAAAGCACTAATAAAACTGACAAATCTCTAAGAAAAACTGACTAAGAGGGCTTCCCTGGTGGCACAGTGGTTAAGAATCCGCCTGCCAACGTAGGGGACACGGCCTCGAGCCCTGGGCCGGGAAGATCCCACGTGCTGCGGAGCAACGAAGTCCGTGCACCACAACTACTGGGCCTGTGCTCTAGAGCCCGCGAGCCACAACTACTGAGCCCACGCACCACAACTACTGAAGCCTGCACGCCTATAGCCTGTGCTCTGCAACAAGAGAAGACACGGCAATGAGAAGCCCACGCACCGCAACGAAGAGTAGCCCCCCCTGCTCACCGCAACTAGAGAAAGCCCACGCGCAGCAGCGAAGACCCAATGCAGCAAAAAATAAATAAAATAAATTAAAAAAAAAAAAAAAGAAAAAAGAGAAATTGCAAATCACTGGAATTTAAAAAAGAACTATAGATGTGGCAAAAATTTAGAGAGACTATTTTATGCCAATAAATCTGAAGATGAGGAAAAACGGTAAAATTCTCAGAAAAGTAGAAATTACCACAATTGAGTCAAGAAGCAATAGGAAATATGAACAATAGTTAAAAATCTTCCCACAAACAATACAACAAGGCCAGACAGTTTTACAAATAATTTCTAGCAAACATTGAGAACATATTATTCTAAGAGGAAAAGAACAAAACACTCCTCAACTTAGTATTGTTTCTAATAACAGAAAATTAGAATAACCTAAAAAATATATATGTAAAATGTGGTATTAGCAGTTAAAATAAAGGAACTACAGCTACAATCTATCAACATAAATGAATCACAGAAACAATGTTAAACCCAAACCAGCAAGTTGCAGAATAACAGGCACAATATAATTTCACTCACACCAAATTTTAAATCCAACAAAACAATTTCATATAATGTTTATGGATGTATAAATGTGTGATCAAATTATTAAAACCTAAATGATAAACACTGTATTCATAAGTTGTTTCCTCTAGGTAAGGTATCTAGTGGGAGGTGGTAGGGGAGAAGAATCTTTATCTGTAAAATTTTATTTTAAAGAAAAATCACCTAAAACAAATATGGTCTACACAGCTACACGAGTGATTTTATATTTGTCTGTATATTTTTTGTTGTTGTTTTTTTGTTTTTTGTTTTGTTCTTTTGGCGATACGCGGGCCTCTCACTGTTGTGGCCTCTCCCTTTGCGGAGCACAGGCTCCAGACGCGCAGGCTCAGCGGCCATGGCTCACGGGCCCAGCCGCTCCGCGGCATGTGGGATCTTCCTGGACTGGGGCACAAACCCGTGTCCCCTGCATCAGCAGGCAGACTCCCAACCAATGCGCCACCAGGGAAGCCCTGTCTGTATATTTTAAATATTTTATGGAAAAAAAAAAAAATTTCAATAATAACCAGAGAAAATACAACAAAAAGTAAGGACACGAGGTAGTATTTACTGAGTGCTTACATTATGCCAGAACTGTTCTAAGTGCTTTACATATACTATATATTAATTCATGTAATACTCATGCCAACCCCATGAAGTAGGCATTATCAAGCATCCTCATTTTGAACATGGGGTATTGAGACACAGGTGTTAAGTATACCATATTGCTGTTTTATAATCCTTTGGAAAACAATTTGATAATACTGATCAATGAGCATACCTGAAAACCTGTAAATCTACATCAAGATATCTATCTTAAGGAAATAACCAAAAACATACTAAAGCTTTGTATACAAAAAGAAAGAAAAACAAAAAACTCTGTTGGTGATTAAAGGGAAAATGTTAAAATACCTAAAATATACATAACAGTGAAATAGTTATGGAGCATCCATACGATAGGTTATTAATAGCCAATAAACTTTGGAAAGAATTTTTAACATAGAATAATGTTTTTGTTAAACAAAAAAATAGAAAATTATTTATATGGTAGTTCTCAACTGTGTAAAAATATACACCTAGAAGGAAAGACTGGAAGGAAATGCACAAAAATATTATAATGGAGGTTACTTATGGGTGGTAAAATCACAATGATTTTTCCCCCCTCACATATGAGCTTAACAAAATTTTTAGTATATACTGCTTTTATAATCAGGAAAAACTACAAAAAGAAAGAAAAGTGTCTGTCACATATAATCAATTATGCCAAACTAGCTCCATAACTCCAAACACCAAACTGTGGGCAACTTGGGAAGTAGGCACAAAAATAAAGTTTTGCTTAGCATATAATGAAATTGAAAAAGAATAGTCTGTATTACTTCTAATAATAGCTTTTACTTACGTGGTAATTGTGGTGTTTTACTATCATGTGAACGGTAGTCTTCATGAGGGACAGACTTGTCATCCTAATTGCAAAAAAGTTTATTATATGGTTAATATATAATTAAAAAGATCTGTAACACAGAAGAGAGCAGATAAAACATTTGAAGAGGTTGGAGAGTTGAAGTGATATACAGGAACTCACCATTTTCACATGCATAGGTCTATCAAACAAAAACTGCCCATTGAACATAGCTGTTGGTTCAGTCAAGGAAAGCCAGTTAGGCAACTATGAAATTGTACTTGAACACAAACACATTTTTAATAATCATATTTAGCATCAGACTATCTCTAATATTTTAAAAAACATCCTTAGTATTTTACTTATTTGTATTAGTCTCTTCCGCATACTCAAAAATCTTCAGTTCTTTGCTTTATAGTTTTATTTTATAAATATCTTTAATTCAACCACTGCAAAAAGAAAATTAACAAGGCTTCATTTAAAGCAACTGTATTAATGTACAATGAATTACATTACTGTCAACAGCATGTATACAATTAGTTGTGGTAGGAAGAGAAAGTAGAAAAAAGTTCATACCAGGCCTATACGATATGGCTAATTCAAGTTTTAAGAGTGACTTTAGTATTTGGACATAGTAAAGGTTTTATGTGCTGGAGACCAAATTCTAATACATATTTCTAAGCCAGGCAACCTTAAATTCCATAATCCCCACAAAACGGTATCAAACTTCTTCAACCTTATTAAGTAATGCTAAAGTGTAAATCAGGATACAAATTGCTTGAACTGCTTCAATTGCTTGTTCAAAAGTGACTGTGCCCATTCCTCTGCTCTTGCCATCTTTGTCTTCTTTAATATCTGCCCGCTTTACAGTTCCAGCTATGCTGAACACTTCCTTTAGCTTCTTCCAACCAACTTTGAAGTCAAGCTTAATATAAAATTGTATAAAGTTACACACCTATTAACTCCTCTCCCCACTTATAAATAATACAAATCTTTTCTAAACTCTCAAAAATATAAAGAACTATAATTCTTGTTAAACAGTATATCAATAGTATTCACGTAGAAACATCTTAAATTATTAAAGATCGGTTAAGCTACATCTACATTTTTCCTTACCCTTATTTTTTTTAGTTCCCAAAACAGTCTCTCAGAGCTGCTCAATCCTGTTTTGTACATTTGAAACTTTCATATCTATTTTTACTGACAGAAATTCAGATTTTGGAAAGTATGGGTGATATCACTGACTTCCAAAAGCTTAGAACAAATGACAAACCAACTACAACATGCACATTCACAAATATCAAATATCAAAGCTAAAGGAAGAAATCCATTTACCAATATGAACAAAAATCACATATAATGTAAGTACATAATTTCAAGAACTGCTTAAGTGTTTATAAATTCCACAGTTCTGTTTTAAAAAATCCTAAATACTTGTATTTACACTCTGACCTTATATTTATGGACTTAAATTGGGTTTGAGTTTACAATTACTGTTTTGCTTAGTTAAAAACAAGCCAAATGTTCTATAAACCTATGACCCATTCATCTAATTAAATAATCTCATGATTAGAACTAAATAGCTGAATGGCAAATTTTTAGAGTAAAGCTTAAACTTACATTAGCAACAAAAATTGTGGAACCAAGTCTACCAGCCTGCAAATTACTGATAACCTCAGGAGGAATGTTTGGATTATTGAGAATGGAAGGTGGTAAATTCATCAATCCCGATCCCATGTCGGGTACATGTCCTCCTGGAAATGATCCTCCTGTTCGTTGCAGTGCCCTACGAGCATTTTCTCCATCAGGATCCTATAACACACAGTGAATGTTAAATGCCACCAGATACATCAGTAAGTCTATATCACTAAAATAACAACTTCAAATTCTACAGCAGCTATCCCAACTGGCTCAAATTAGTGGCCCTCTTGAAGAGTGAGCTTTTTTCTCATCCAGAGAATTCAGTCCCATAAAAACCTGTGGATAGACAAGAGATTTCAGTCTCCAGGGATGTCAATTAAATACCTCTTTCCAATCACTAAAGTCACTTAAGAACTTGAAATTAGTTTAATTTTGCCCTCATACAGGTATACAAGTATATGGCACATACACATAAATCCACATAACTCAAAGAGGAACAAAATACTTACTGTGACTCTTATTCTCACCACTATATGCCCAATGTAATGACAAATTCATACTAACTTAAAGCTTTCAACAGAAGAACAGCCTGTTATAAAACCCAGGAATACTGGGGAGGAGGGGAACTGTTATAATGTGTAAATTTCATTCCTGAACAAAATATAATTATCCACTTTCCAACCTCTTTCCATCCTCAACAATGATTATGATCTGAGATGGAGGGAGAAGGGAGATAAAGAAAGGCATGAAGAACGGTACTAAACATTGTTTGGTTTTTGTTTTTGTTTTCTTTAGTTCATTGACTTTTAAGAGAAATATGCTGCCTTTAAACAAAGCAAAAAAGGCAAGCTTAAACATACTTCTCACTCATCTCAGTAAGTAGAGTACAAAAAACAAACAAAAACCACATAAACACACAGATAGACTATCATCTGCAATACCAAATGATTATGATATATGTAACCATCAACTCTACTCTGCTGGCCTCCATCTGGGAATACTAATAAAAAGAAAGTTGGATGACTTTAATAAATTTTCTAGGAAGGCTGGAAAATAGAAAGTGAAGTGAATGTAAGAATAAAGGTATTCTGGCATCCAATGTATTCCATCACCATGAAGAAATAAAAAGAAATACAAAAGCAAAGAAATTAATATTTTGAAAAATGCTATAATACTCTTTAAGTTAATAAATAAATGCTTCAGGTCTAACGTTTCAAAATCTCGCACAAATACAAAACTTAGAATAGTGGTTACCTATGGGGGAAGGAGGAGGACATAGCAGGGAAGATGCTTCATGAACCATTACGATAGTCAGATTGTTTGTCCTTCACATCTTAACATTAATAAAACATATTGTTATATTTTGATTTTTTAGGTATGATATATATATAAACATATATACACACAAAAATATAAAGACACATATAAAACATATATAAAATACAAATTATGTAAAACCACCTGCTATATAGCATGATTTTTATTCTTCTTTTCTCCTTAGATGTCAGCCTGCCAGTCACTGCCTGCTACTGCTATGAGAGGGCCTATAATAAGTTTATAACTGCTACTAAACCTCACTTAATTAAATTAAAAAATGCAATTCTATTATCTGTTAATGAACATTGGAAATATACTTTTCCCTAGACTTGAACTAGTATTTCTCAGCACTGACCCCAGCCACCCATGTGAAAATCAGATAATTCCAAGAAAGGGACCTTTAGAGATATTAATCTGAAAAAGTTAACTGAATAAAGAACACCTCATCATTTAGCCAGGCCAAACTCAACCATTTTTCTATTTAGGAAGTAAAAAATGGGAGTATCCTATATCAACTTGGATCACATAACTCTATTATAGGGTCTCTGAAATATTACTAAGGATCTACAATGTGTTAAAACTTAAAAGAACACAAACAATATGGGCTTGGCCTTTAGCATCCAATAAACTTTTTTCTCCAGTTAAAAAAAGACACAGAATCTATAATACTTGTCTTTCCCCCCCCCCCCACACTGTGAGCCTCGTGGGATCTTAGTTCCCTGACTAGGAACTGAACCCCAGCCCTCGGCAGTGAGACCACAGAGTCCTAACCACTGGACCGCCAGGAAATTCCATATAACACTGGTCATTTGAAGAGGAATAGGAAACATCATAAAAAAGCAAGTCCTAATTCTCAAAGTAATAATTTCCCAAATGGTGGCTGTTCTACAAATGTCACCCTTATGGGAAATTATTAGGGTATCAGCACATTTCTGGAAAACTGGTCCTGGCTTACGCATAAAAATTACCAAATAAATGGCTGGCACAGATTACAACAGTCTAAACTTTCTCTACCAATTTTCTACATCTCAGTCAAAATATTTAAAAAGAAAAAAAAAAAAAAAGAAAGGAAAGAATAAGCCCCTAGGCTCAAATAGAATTAGAGAAATTCAGAAGCTGACTCCAATAAAGGGATATGGGATACCTGTATTTGTTGACAGCATGGCCTTTAATTTTAAACTATTATCACCTCATATCCAGGAACAAGAGACCAAGGACCAGTAACACTCCCACCTTGGGCAGGAATAACAACAATCAAAATTATTATTACAGGGACTTCCCTGGTGGCACAGTGATTAAGAATCCATCTGCTAATGCAGGGGACACAGGTTTGAGCCGTGGTCCAGGAAGATCCCACATGCCGCAGAGCAACTAAGCCGGTGCGCCACAACTACTGAGCCTGTGCGCTACAGCCTGCGAGCCACAACTACTGAGCCCAAGTGCCACAACAACTGAAGCCCGTGCGTCTAGAGCCTGTGCTCCGCAACAAGAGAAGCCTCTGCAATAAGAAGCCCGTGCACTGCAATGAAGAGAACCCCCCGCTCACCGCAACTAGAGAAAGCCCACGCAAAGCAACAAAAACCCAATGCAGCCAAAATAAATTAATTAATTTTTTTAAAGTTAAAAAGAATTATTATTACAGCTAACATTTATTATGTAGTTACAATATTTTCAGCACTGTGCTAAGTGCTTTATATAATTATAACAAATATGTAACATTTATTGTTTTACATATATTAACTCTTTGAGTCCTCATAACACTATCAGATAGATTCTAGTATCATACCCATTTTAGTGATAAGAAAACAGAGGTTAAGTAATTTGCCCTGGGTCAGATTCTTTGATGCCAGAGCCTGAGTTTTTTTAATCCTCATAAATGTATCTCCATTTAATCCTCATAAAAACCCTAACTAGGTAAGTATTATCTGTATACTATTATAATTACTAAGGTTTAGAGAATAACTCAACTAAGTCACACAGCTTGAAAGTGATAGAGCTGGGACTCAAACCAATACCATACTAAATTAAATTGTGACTGACAGTACTGCTCTACAATGATTTGTATCCATGTTGGTGGAAACTCTTCAGGGTCCCAAAGTTACATCCTCTATCATTTTTTACTATAGACTTTAGCAAGAATATACACATACGTGGTCTGTGATCAACTATTCAGTAAGATCAACAATATGAACTAAACAAAGACATGAAAATGACTTCTATTCAAGCTAATCATTTCCAAGGTAAATCACACCTAACTGTAAACAGTTTTTCATGTATCTTCTGATCATTCTTTTGTCAACATATTTATACACTGTTTCATACAACGGGAACATCTCCACTTTAGGGGTTTCCAAGTTCCAGTTATAAATTTCACTAACCGATGTATAACTTTTCTTAAATTTTAATCTGGCATAGTTTAAGGTTAATTTTATTAAAAGTGAATATCAATTTTATTCAAATCCATAAGGTATTTGCATTATTAAGCAAACTTTAATTATCAACTAGAATATCTACAATATTTCTTAAATCTAATAACACAGTCTAAAAACTGAAAATGTTTATACCAAGTATAAACTTGGTATAAAAAAGTCAGCACCTTAAGTTTGCCATCTTTAAATTTCTGTGTCTTGTAATTTTTTTAAAATCATACACCCCTGCTTATAATAACTTGGAACAAATCATATACATAGGTTACTGCTTAAGGGCAAATAGGAAATCATGTACAAGCAAAACTATCATCAATTATATAATGCTTTAGTAAGCATCTACCCTTTAAAAAAAATGCTGTAATCAGATAAATAACCTTACTAGATGAAAATCCAAACAGGACATGTCCTTCTAATTCAAATGTTTAAATTATTCCAAATATAAGAAATCTTACCTCTTTGATATTCAAGGGTCTTCCGCTAAGATCATATTTGTTCATAGTTTCTAGTGCTTTCTTGACAAATTCTTCATCTTTGAATTCAACCACACTTAATGGGGAAAAAATTTATAGGAAATGTTTATGTACTAAGATTTTTTTTCCAATCATAAGTTTAAATTTGACTTAAGATACTTAAAAAAAGAAAATTCTTACCCACAACCCTATATCCAGGTAGATTTGTCAATATATGCAAAAGAAAAAAAGTTCTGGATCAGGAGACGAAGTTAATGGCAGATTCTAACATTTAAGTCATTAAAAATCAATAATACAATCATTCTTTGTCTTTTAGACCTCCAGAATGTAACAGGCATGTCACCACAAATTTTCTGTAAATTTTTAGATCTATCTATTTAAGATTGTAGAATCTAGCATCTAACAAGCTTGGAGCACATTTTTACTTTTAGATGACTCTTCTTAAAAAACTAAAGTAATGTCATCCCACAAATTCAATCAAAAGTAACTCAAGGAAGTAACTGAAGGCTCTCAAATACCTATCTTTACATTGTTACAAATATTTTTGAAAGATATATGGTACACAAATAGTTTTTAATGTAAAATTTTCTATTTTATTAAAATCAAAATAGGAAATATTAATCTAATGTTAAAGTTCTCAAAACTGGCTGCACACAATTTAATAACATCCAGTTGTAAGTATATTAAAAAAAAAACTATGCTAAAGAAACAAATTGGTAGAATCATTTTTTTATATAATTCCTTGTCAATATTACTGTTCAAAGTGCCATTTGAATGTGACGACAAAGTTTTTATTTCTCATGCACCCAAGCGGTTTTTGCTAGTATAATTAAACATTGTTAAAAAGCTTTCCATTATATTCTTCAATATATTGCTTTCTTGCTAAAAATCAAAATCTACTATCAACCAATTCCTTCTATGTCAATTTAATCATCAATGTTATTCATACCAATTGGTCAGAGCACTGCCTTTTATGTAGTCCTGCAGGCTACCAAATTAGGCTCTTCAGTGCAAGTTTCAAATGTACATTCTGAATTAACACCTTTAAGCTATAGGCCTCTCATAGAACTCTTAGGAAATATTATCAATTCAGTGATTTTTAAAATATCCTTAAAGACATCAAAACACAACAAAAAATGTCCTATATTAAAATCTATTGGCTAAGAAGCACTACCTTAGAGCATTAGAAAAGTGAATGCCCTTTATGAGCATTTACAAAACCCATCCCTTCAAGGCAGCTAGTTTGGTTTGTATAAGCGTCAGACTTGCTAGTATAAAGCCTCAAATCTTTCATAATAAAGTAAAACAAAATGAAACTTAAGTTTCCAAAAACTGGTACAAGTATTATACAAAAAGTAAACTGCTGAGGAACTTTTAAACCTCAAGCAGATGATCGCCCACAGCACTTACCCTTGATTTTCCTTCCGCATCCTTAAAGAGCTCCACGTATGTAACCTCACCAACTACATAAGACATACAAAAGGAAGATACCAAGAAACAATACATTTAAACACCAATATCTTGCTTTACTGCACACCTGTGCACAACTCTACAGAAAAGCACCTATTATTCACCAACAATCAAAACCAGACCAACATACCTCCTGTCAATGGCTATGTAAATTTAACTAATTTTCAGAAATGTACATCATCCACATTCTCTAAAAAAGCTAACAACCATATTAACCTAATTCATGCTACAGATCATATTTTGGCCAGCATGATATAGTTGGTGAACAAATGCACATATACATACAAATGGTCCCTTAACCTATCGTATTAAAAACATCAACATTAGCACTTTTCAAATAACTTTGGTCGCCTACACACAACAGCTGTTTTAAGGTGACTTTCTACCTGAATGTCTTCAATCTTGTTTGCCATCAGTAAACTAAATTTACAAGTCATGCTTCACAGCAAGCCACACACTTTCTAAATAAAGTCAATGAATAAAACCAATCAAATAGTTGTCACCTTACAACAGATACACCAATGCAAATTTTTTTTTATTTATTAGAAGAGATCAGCCTCAAAACCAAGTAAGTAGTTTGCAGGACTGTTGAAACTCAATTTTTCAAGAGATAACAAAACTAACTTTTACAAGATCAAGTATTAAAAATATTTTTCCCCAAAATCAACCATGTATATAAAATGAAGGTTTTCGGGTTATTCTGAAAACAAAACTGCAACAGCAGTAACACAATTTTAATATAGAACTGCAGAGACAGCATCATGGCATTCATGACAATGCGAACAAAATGAATTCCACAGCCAGATTCCAGACTCCACCAAGATAATAACAAAACAGCTTTTGGAAAAAAAAATAATCAGACCTTATTATTCATACGTTAACACGCTAAATATATTGCTTACCTAATGCAATAGGCCTTTAAAAATCTATAAAAACTTCAACTAGACAAAGCAATCACTTTAACAAAATTCTTGGTGGCATGCATATGCTGGTTCGCTACTACCCCACTAAAATGGCAAAAAAAAAAACCAAAAAACTTCATTTATCCATACTACTTGTAATGAAACTGTGTCAAGTGAAAGAAGAGGAAAAGATTAATTTATGTGTCAAAAAAATCAACTTTTTGAGTCTGTGTGGCTAAGAGGAATAAAAAAAAGTTTGCTTAGCTCCCTCTCATTCTATATGAAAATTATCCAACAATGGGTTTATCAAAAATAGTTACCTTTTTCTCTCATTAGATCTTTAATGGCTTGCCATTTCATGTCATATGGGATGTTGCTAATAAAAACTCTGTTACGATTTGGACCCTTCTTTTCTCCAGTGCCTGAGTTCTTGTCTTTTGAATAAGGATGAAATCTGTTGGCTTTCTTATTTCCTGTAGATTTTTCTTTTAATTCAGATTTCTCTTCCTTGACTGATTCATCATTCTCCCTGTGAATTAAAAATAATACAAAAAACAGAACAACAAAAAGAAAACCTCAGCGGGGCTTCCATAATGTAAGTCTACGTTAAATAAATATTTCATATTTATCACTTCACTTCACAAAATTCTTCCCTAAGTTAGACCTCAGCAAAGCAGCTGGAGACTCAGCCTACTGGCTTTGAAATTACCCAATGTCTTTTCAAAGCAATGATTTGGGCATATTACCAAAGTTCTCATTTAACAACCCTCCTTTTATTCTGTATTAAATAGCTGCAGCATTCAAACAAACCTAGTTTTTCCCATCATACTACTTAATAAATGTTGTTAGAACCTAACAAGAGGGTAAAATGGGTGATTTTATTCCTAGAGTATATTAAAACTTTCACCATTAATGGAGAATTAACTTTCTGGGCCTCATTCAGAACTCTACAAAAATTAATTTACAAAATGGGACACAGAAAAAGTTTCTCTCTTAAAGGTTAATGGTTTCCTCCCAGAACTTTCCTCTTCCATCGCTTTAAGAACATAATTAAAACATAATTTTATCTATATACTCCCATACGACTCTCATAATTTTTGTCTCTTCCCAAATTGGTCAACATAGAAAAATGATAAGGTATCCTATTTTCATGCCCAATATTTTCTGTGTTTTAACCTATAAACTAGGATAGCATACTTCATAGAATCATGCCATTTTTATTAGTAGTATCACCTAAAATGGTGGGATGGGATGGAGAAGGGAAGCAGTACTTAAATGCAACATGAACCAGAATTTTATAAATCTACTTTTTTTTTTTTTTTTTTTTTTTGTGGTACGCGGGCCTCTCTCACTGTTGCGGCCTCTCCCGTTGCGGAGCACAGGCTCCGGACGCGCAGGCTCAGCGGCCATGGCTCACGGGCCCAGCTGCTCCGCAGCATGTGGGATCCTCCCGGACTGGGGCACAAAACCGTGTCCCCTGCATCGGCAGGCGGACTCTCAACCACTGCGCCACCAGGCAAGCCCTATAAATCTACTTTTTAATGAGGTCCTAACTGGAAAAATATTTAATTTATAAGATTGCAATCACATTACAACTATATGATGCTATCCACCAAGCACCTATAACATGTTAAGTATACACTTAAAGCAAACCCTAAAGATAAAAATCTGGAGATACATTTTAAAAGTGCAATTTTCTTCTCAAAAATAATTTTTTTTTTTTTTTTTTTACAGAAGAAACAATAGATTTCTTTTAAGTCACTAATTACCCTAGTGAATTTAAAACTATTTAATTAAAACTTCAATTTTAAAGCAATTTTTCACAAACATATACTAAGAAAAATCTCTGGGAATGACATCCAGGAATCTAAATCTTTTAAAGCTTTCTGGATTATTCTGACAACCAATCAGGTTTCATAATCCAGGCTCTATATTATCTTCTAAGCCAAGCGACTGTGGGAATCTATACATTGCAGTGCTCCACAACACCTCTTACTGTAGTCATTTGTTCCACAATATAGTGAAGTTTTCAGACAGTTTTTCTGAGCAGGTAACAACGCAGCCATAAATATAGTATGTAAAACTCTATGAGAACAAAAACTATCTGCATTGGTGTCAGCAGCATCTAGCGTGGTAACATGTGTTTGATAAATATTAATTTTTGAATGAATAGTCAATTAAGAACCCATAGATGATGCTACTGTCTGCCAGAAAAACTGCTAAAATCAAGGAAGACACATTAGGGCCAAACATGCTTTGCTACCTCTTCAGACCTTGACAGGGACACCTTCACTATCAAACATCTTCCCTCATCAGAAACAGCATGCCTGGAAGTGGTCTTCTCAACTGTCCAACTCTAGCAAGTACCTACCTGTCTGAACAGAGTGGCACTACTATAAATGGCAGCAAGCAGTCAAAAAGCCACAGAGCACTTTTCTCTGGTTTCTGAGTACAGTAGACACAAGAACAAACCCTTCTTTTTAATCCCCCCAAAGAACCTATTTACATAATAGGCTGAATTCAATGAAGGTTTTTAAAAATAAACTAAGTCTCTGTTCAGGTGAGCAGACATCTATACAGTCCCTATCCAAACACACCTTCCCCTGCCTATTTTATTCTTAGATGAAACCAACTGTGAAAACTGAACAAAGTTCTGAATCACTCGCTATGTTCTTTTATTCTTACACGGATGCTGTAAGCTTACAACAATCTAACAATTCCATTAAGCGGTAAAGTTATTATATAGGACATGTTCTTTATTACTCAAGGGATGACCAGAGGGAGAGATTTCTTCAAGTTTTCCTCAATTAGTGGCATCTTAAAGATACTGTTAAACTGCTCATCTACAATGCATAAATTAAGATTACTATGGAAGGTAGATCAGTTTAGTTGCTAGAGGTGTGGTCTGATTATTAAGAAAGTGAACTGTAATTACTCAATTTCTGAACTCATTTCTAAGTCATAAATATACTATAGGAAAGACAGTAAAGATATATGTGAAAACTCGTAGGAAAATGATACTACATAATATCAAAATATTGGCACTATATCCAGAATTCCATGTAATAATTCCAGAACTATTCATCTAAGTAATCTCCCTTGTAATGGACTTGAAATAAAGACTGTGATGATTCTAAGTCACAAAAACATTATCTACTCTTAAGACTAAATTATGTCTACACGAATTAACATCAATTTCTGAAAAATCAGTATCCAACATCAAATGAGGACACACAGTTTCAATATGTGACTTAAAAAGCATAATGCTATGAGATCCAAAATCAAGCCCAGTTCCATTCTTCACTCCTAATATAATAAAAAATACTACTCTACTTTAAACACTACACCTTGCACCAATACTTAATATTTTATACAACCACTGTAATGTAACTCTGAATCTCCATATGCTCCAAGGTGTTACTTAGTCACACATGAATAACAAAGAGTTATAACAATACTGCTATTTTTCTTCCCATTCACTTAAGAAGAGCTAGTATACCATTTTGGCATAAAGAAAATGACTAGACCTAGGGAAACATCTTTAATTTCTTGTCAAAAGATGTGAACATGCCAAATAAATCCTCTGTACATGTGTTTCATGATCATGTAAGTTCACTTCTGCATTTCTTAAATGTTTATTGCGCCTTTTTAAATATAAGGGCTTGTGAAATACAAACAGGAGTAAGACATAGCTGTCTCTGACATAGCTGCCTCCATCCTTAATTACTATGAATTAACCTCAGTAAAAATCATCTCAGTCTTGACGACAAACAGCATTCTGTCCACTTCTAAGCAACATATATTTTAAGGCAATATTTGGTAATTTTTAATCACCTCTATGAATTCTTATCATTAAAAATATATGGTGAATCAACTCAAGGTTTATGTGTTGGGTTGTAAACTACTCCAGTTGGTGCCCAGGGTCAAAAAAAAAAAAAGGCTGTTAGACTGATGCAGGTAAATGTCCCTAGTTATTCAGTGTGAGTGACCCATGACAGACCATTATACGTTCTTAAGGAATAAGCAGTACAAGAAACCTCTGATAGTAAATTGGCTTCTTAACTGGGAAAAGAGGAAGGGAGAGAGATGAATTATAAGCAATATGAAAAGAATCTGCATTTGTATTTACTGGTAACACTGCTTCACCTTATATTTTCCTCTTCCTCAAACAGAAGTGAAAGGGATACTTTTCCCACCTCAGTCCTCTTCTGTCTAGCTAAACCTCAGTGAGACTTTAAAAGGGATTAGAGCCTTTTAGATCTAATGGAGGTTTAGATACCAGCTTTATCTGTACCAAGACTATTACACTAATCATACCCAAGTATAGCACGGCTTCTCTCCATAATTCAAGGCTGTACTTTTTGTTCAGGAGGTGACAGGCCCATATTTAGGTATAAACAAAATGCTTTTATCATTCTACTAGTTTTCATTTGTATTTATGATGCCAAATCCCTGAAAGCCCACATTTTGGCAGGCAGGGTAGAAAGTGCCTCATTCACTTTCTGGGTCTTCAGTTACTAAGTGCACCAGGTTCCACCTCTATTTTGCCTAGAAGATACTGCCTATCCTATTCAAATCCAGTTGAGAGCAAGAGTACATAACAGAGCTGGGAGACCTACCTTATCTATCTGCAGTCAACCCTTAAACAGACTGGTCCAGGTCTGTTCTTACACAGGTTCTTATACAAAAGAAAAATAAGAACATTTACCTTTCCTATTTTTGTGTGAGCCTTATGTTCACTTTCACTTTCTACTAAATTTAGTGTTTTCACTAAATTATTAACATACTTTCAACTTCAGGTTTAAAGAGCTGGGCATGTGCAAATCAAATGCCTGACTTCATATTCCCCCTATATAACAAGAACAAAGGAGAGCACAGCATTATTATGGATTCGAATCGACTACATTCTTTATCGGTACTGATGACAGCTGCAATCTTAAAAGGAGTGGGTTTTCTTCAACTAAAAAAGATCTTATTTTACCATTTTACCAAAATTAAGATCCTACCATCCCGCACTGAGTTTTTTTAAAATAGCCTGCGTGGCTGACAAACATGGGGAGGGAGTTGGGGGGGGCGGAGCAAGGCACCACGTACAGTTCCCTTTTTAAAGTACCTCTTACCAATTCAAGGGTAACAATGGATTCAGTCTCACGGCATATTACTAAACTTCCTCTTGGTATATATCAGTTAAGAAATGAATACATACTTTAGAAAACAACAGTGAACTTATAAAGCTCGGAATGAGGACGGGGAGATGGGGGGATATTCCTTTTACAAACGTCTTCGGTGGTTAAGAGAAAATGTCCGATGATGTCATCCCTAGTTACTCCCTAGTGATGAACACTAACTACTGGCCTTTAAAAGGGGGACCATTTTTCTGCAAACCGTGGCGGCCGCCGAGCTCTGCTCAAAGGTTTTCCAGCCGAAGTCAGGGAAGAAGGGGTGACTCACGGTCTTGGGCCAGAAGCAGGGGAGGAGCGCCAGACCCCAGGCCCACACCCGGGATCCCCCGCTTCGGGGCGGGCGGGGAGGGCCGGCTGCACCTGCACCTCCCGCCGCCCACGGCCCAAGGATCAGCCCTGCGTGGGGCCCCCCGGTCGACTTACCGCCCCCCCCACCTCGTCCCAGTCCCCGGAGGAAAAGACAATACATTTTAACGCCATTGGAGCTGCTGCTGTGCTGCGGCGGCTGCTTCTCCTGCTCGGGCGGGTGAGGTTCTCGCCGGGGCTCGCCCGGCGGCTCCGCTGGCTGCCGATGCGGGCTGTCGTCGCCAGCTGCCCTAAGCACCTCGGGCTTGTCGGCGTCGGCCATCCCGACGCCACGGCCTCCGCCTGCGCCGCCTGCGTTGAGGGGCTCCGAGCGCCACAATGGCGGCGGCTGGGAAAGCGGTAACGGATCCCGATTTGAAAAGGCCCCGAGCGCTCAGTTGCCCGGATCTCGCGAGAACCGGTCGGGGCTTGGAGACTTGGAGACGGTGTGAGCTGACGGGGGGAG